GCACAGACACAAGCATGGTGAAGTATGGTCAAACAACCTCCACGCCCAACACAGTGTGGGGAGGCCTTCATCCGGCAGTCGATTGGCAAAGGGGGTGTACATGTATTATTATTATTGTGATTCGTAATGCGTAGGTTACACTTTATTTAGGATCTGAAACTTCTACTTTGTATATTTTTGGTTTCATAGGGAAGTAAAGAGGCAGAGTGAAAGCAAGGGGATTCCAGGAACGTGGAGCAGCAACGCGGAAATACTTTTTACCAAAACACGTTTTAGCAAATGAAATTTATCGCAGGATTAAGGCTACATTTCTGGGGCTATGGGAGTCAGAGGAACTAAGTGGGCCTTTAGGTAATTTGCAGATTTGTTTAAGAAGACCCTTAGGTTGAAGCCATCAGTGGCATCCCTCGTACATTTAAACTATAGGGACTGTGCTATTGATATAAAAAAACAGGGTTACATTTTAAAAATGATAGCTTTCAGCTGAGAAAAGTGTAAGATAACTCAAGAATACGTAAAACCAGTTAAAAATATATATTTGTCTATATTCGTCTCATGACATGTGTCACGTCATCTCTTGCAGCGAAGTGCAATCTCCCTTTGTGTTAGAGAACGTCCCAAGGAAGCGGATATCACAGAGCTACCTCTGAGATCTCTTCAAGTGACCTCTGGTCCTCACAGTGAGTGGGAGTACTCTCCTTCCCCATGACAGTCAAACAAATATTCTAAATTCTCAGAGCTGGAGTTTAACAAGAGTGCTGAACAAAATGTAATAAGTTGTTGATTTTAAGCTTTCGTGACTGCAGGAATCCATACTCTTTGGTTCTTTCGGTAAAGTCACGTAGGTAGAAAATAAAATAAATCACGTTTCGGGCGCAACACAAGCGTCCCAACCTGATGACGGATGCTTGTGTTGTGCCCGAAACGTCGTGATTTATTTTATTTTATACCTACGTGACTTTACCGAAAGAACCAAAGAGTAAGAAAGTTGTTGTTGTAGGGTCATTGGTGACTGGACGGAGACCATCACATCAATTCTGCCTGGATATGAACGCAGGTTCGCAGTGGTGCCAGCTCAGTGTTCTGACCTCTGCATAACCTGGCCATCTGACATTAAACCTTGTATGTATATATATATAGAACTTGTAATACATAGAGCCTTACTTCAGGCAGAGGGGGAGGGGTATGCAGCTGGCTGGTCCTTGAAGCTCTGGGCCATTCCTAGGACAGCCCAGCATGGCTCACTTACTCTGATTTCTAATTGTTATGGAAACATGGCCGTAATTACCATGCATATACTCAGAAATGATTGCATTCGCTAAACACGGCCCTTGCCGTTGGTCGTGCCCAGTATCATTGAGCTGATGAAGAGCACCCCTGCAATGTATAAAATCGAGGTTAATTTTATTTCCATCAGTCTCATACCCTCCGTAGTGCCGGCGATGTGACGCATTAACCTATGGATTCATCTCAATGACCGTGTGCTTCCGCGTTCTCGGATATTCACAGCGGCTCACTGGCACGATGAGCTCTCATCAGACACGGCCTACGCACGCGAGGGACACTGGCTCGCTCTGACATCCATTCCCATTGAGTCCACGATGACACCGCGAGCGCATGGTTTGATTACAGGGCCGACACAGATGACGAATTAGAGTGTCGACACCAATGCATATGGAGAGCTAATGCCATTCCACAGCACATGTTAATGCAATGAAAGCTCCTGCCATGGCCCATCTTGCTGTGGACGAGCATGTGTTTTGAGATGCATTTTTTTCTTCTTCAAATAACACTCTTCAACACAAATCAAGTAAAGGGTTACTAAAGATCACCTTGGTTTGCTTTGTTTAATAAAGGCTTCATCCTTTGGAGCCCTATCTGGACTCCTCACTCACAAATGTAAACGATACCACATCACCCCAATTGTCAGGTCACTCCATTAACTCCTCATCCAGTCCGTGATAAATTAAAATATCACCCTTAAATATCTTCAAGGTCATCCAAGGACTTGTCGTCTCTTTCTATCTCTCGTAGTCTACGTCAATTTGCGTGTCTATCTGTTCTATATGTCTAATAATAATGCTTTATTTTTAATCCAGGAAAGCCTCACTGAGTCTGAATACTTTTTAAAGAGGATGCTGTGTAGTGATGTTTAGCCAATACCATTAATGACTGTTCAGTATCTGAGAGTAATCAGAGTACCCAGAGAAAACACACAAATAAAGAGTTAACACTCAAACTCTGCACAGATAGATAAAAAAAAATAAACATGACTGTACTGACTGCCATCTCCTCACCACCTCATACCCCAGGCTATCCTGTTCCTCACTGTATGTCTCTGTCTCCGCGTGCCTGTGTATAGCACCTGACAAGGCCCTCACCATTATCAAGATCCTCCATTGACTCACTTCTTCTTGCCTCTCTCGCAACTCTATTACCCCTCCACAAATTCAACCGATTGTACTTGTCAAAACCCCCCCCCCCCCCCCCCCCCAGTTGACCTCTGCTCAATGTCAGTTTGTTCCTTCTCCACTGCTGCACCTTCAGCTGAAACTCCATGCCACTTGCGCTGTTTAGGCCCAGGCTCAAGGCATTCCTGTTCTCCTCCTTTACCGTCCCTCTCTCTATGAATTGCTTTATTTTCCCTGTCTGTTCTGTAGCCTCCCATCCATCACTGTCCTCTAAAAATAACCCACACAAAATCCCCTTGCACCCATAAAACCCATATCTCTCATATTTATCTAGAGATGCAGTCACGTAGTAGAGTGGGTGGGGGGGGGGGGATTGCAGATTCTCATCTTGATTAACGGTCTTTCTGAAAAGTGCAAACCTTTTACGTCGCCAACAATGGCGTACATGTCAAGGCGACGTGTGCTTCAGCCGTCTCGTAAACAAGTGAATGTGGTCTTAGAGGCGACACAAATCTAACCGGCATCGCATTTTGCCACGTGTGCAAAGGCCCATCCGGCGTCACTTCAGGGCAGCACCGACACAAGGCTCCTGGCGGCGTGCACAGCAGGAACGACAAGGTGACAGGCAGGATGCCTTCCTTGCCTTTAATCCCAGGGCCTACCATCGATCCCTCCCCGCAGGGAAGCACAAAGCCTAGCAACAGTCACATCTGCATGCCATAGGTCACTACACTGCTTTACTTGCAAACGCATGCATTTCCATTTCAAAACAAGCCTGTCTGAAACGTCTCCGAGGGTGGTGGCAATGAAGCCCACAATAGGCACGCTAATCCTATTATTAGGCTGTCGCAGCCTCCGTTGACCTTTTATTCTCATTCTGCGTGCATTCACGGGATGAGGAGCAGAGCTACGTGAAATTCTCATTTCCCTGCTGGGGAGGGGGGGGGGCTGGGGAGATGTTTTTGGGACCAAGGTTATATCTAAATGGTCTAATTTCTCCCCCAATTTACACGGAAGCAAAAAGCCGCGAGACACATTTGGCATTGTGCAGTGTCTGTCCGCAGGGCCCCGCCGCGACCGGCAGGCACATAAACAGACGGAATGCCCCGCAGAGGAGTCGCACGGTTACGGCATTTGTTAACGTGCTTCAGAGCCTTGCCAACACCAACCGAAACGTGCCGCGGACAATTTACTAAAATACCTCCAGTTTGGAATTGCGCTTACATCACCGTACTAATGGCTCCAACAGTCACGACTCGTGCATTTCTGGTAGGGTGGGTGGGAAATCTGTCAAATGAATACCCCCTGGAATGTATCGCTGTGCTCTAGCGACTGTGGGGATGCACTCTTGTGTACAATGTAGGGTTGAGCAATGAGGCGGTGAGCAGCCCTCCCCTCAGTGGTGGAAATTCCACATTAATATGATGGGAGAGAGTCTATCCATAGGACAACCATCTGTTGACTTCCCCACAAAGGTGCACTCATTTGAATGACCCTGGAGGAACGATGGGCTGAGCGAACCCCATCCAGGACTTGAACATGCAACCTTCCGATTGCGAGGCGCTCATGCTATCTCTGAGCCACCTGGCCGGTACCGAAGAAGAATATCTCACAATACCAGAAAACAGAAAAACTACCTGTAAATGTATTGTCTTGGCAAATAAAAAAAAACTAGCATCCTTCAATGTCTTGACAAGGCTTAAACATACTCTTTCGGTAAAGTCACGTAGATAAAAAAAAAAATAATAAAAAATGAAAATAACTAAATTGATTAAATCGGAAGCAACACAAGCCTCCATCATCAGGTGTAACTGCTCCAGTAAAATTACTTCACACGCTACAGTAATTTTACTGGAGCAGTTACACCTGATGACGGAGGCTTGTGTTGCTTCAGAAACGTCGTGATTTAATTTAGGTATATATTTTTTTTACCTACGTGACTTTACCGAAAGAACCTAAGAGTATGAATCCTTGCAGTCACGAAAGCTTCAAATCAAGGCTGAAACAATAACAGAAATCCCAGGACAGTTATCTCAAGAAGAGGACGTCCTGGTAAAACTAGCACAGGTGGCAACCGCAGCGCATCACTAAGCCGGGGAGGTGGGGGTGGCAGGAGCCGCCCACCGGCGATCTCGGCACACGACGGGGAAATGAGGGCGCTTATCGGTGCGCGGCACCTGCCCGCGAGACCGGGGCTTCGTGCGCGCCACTTGCGCCCCCGCTGCACACGCCGCTCACGACGCGGTTCTGCCAGCTTAATTACCTGGGTGCCGCCACCCTTGCCCTCCCCCCCCACCGGCACCGCGCGACAACCCGCGCTCGCACCCCAAGAGTCACCCGCTCGAACACCCCCCACACCCTCCGCCGCCACCACCGCCGCCACCCCTCCCTGCATCTCCATCTCTCTATCCTTAACCCATTCATCCAAGCAGCTGGGCTGACAATTACGGATTAAATTTAATCATGAAAAAGCTCGTGTTTTTTGCCGATTGCTTTCTCTGTAATGTATGAAATTATGAGGATGCGACCCCGGGCTTTAAAATTGCACGTGTTTTACCGCAATTTGGGGTGCGGCGGCTCGTGATTTACCTCTCTCCGAGGGCGGTGTCTGGGATATTGAGGAAGGAGGGGAGGTCAGGAACGTTGACGACCGGGTAGCCGTGGATGGGGACCAGGAGCGTCTCGTCACCCTTTGGGCGGGGCGGGGCGGGGCGGGGGGAGTGATGGGACACGACACGCGGAACAAATGGAAGGCCACAAAATGTGGCAGACACAAACACTCAATTCTCACCACACCTGACACCACACTCCAGGAGAGGCAAATCATCGTTACATGACACAATATGTAACCTCACAAACCCAGCAATGATTTACAAGCAATATACAGAGCCCACGTATAATGACTGAACAGGATCCTATTGCTTAGTCCCTTCGACAGTAGCCTAAAAGTCTATTGTTAGTGTACTCTGCATGAAGTTAATACGCACGGGATTGATTGTTGTATATTCACCCCCACTTGATAATTATTTATTTGGAGAATTAGTAATGATAATATCAACTTGTATCGTGCACAGTATTCACTCACCCGCGTAACATTGCTGGCTAAAGTCAGACGTTTCGTACCAATGTCATCTCAAAAGCAAAATAAGAAAATCACAAAACATGTTTTCTTTATGAAATATGTATTTCCAAGCAATGCGACTCAATGATGCCTCCCTTGCAAAATATTGTAAAAATAAGGTATCTTTATTAGCTTGTGACCTGTGACCAAATCACCCATAATGCACCGAATCTTGTCAGATCTCAGAAGCTAAGCAGATTTGATCCTGGATAAGGGCCTGGATAGGCAACCTCTCGGCAGCTATAGGGCATCGTGGTGGGCAGTCGAGGGCAGTTGAGCATAACCCATTGTTGTGTTGTGCTGTCTTACTCCCACTTCCATGGTCCACGCCCTCACTACCAACCCAGAGTGACAAAGTAGGGTCAGAGAACCCCCCACGACCCACACGGTGTGGGAAGGCCCTCATCCAGCAGTGGATTGTACATAGCTCATTAATAACCAATACAATTGCTGCAGTAATTGCTGTGTGCTACCCGATACGATATACAGTTCAGAAACGTGATCATTAACTGGAGTACTAGACAAAACAAAGGGGACAACGATAAGTTTGCAGGGAAGCATGGAGAAATGCATGCTTGGAATTATATGACGATACAGCAAGAGGAAAACATGGATTTGTAAACATACGCAGATTAATTACACCATTAAAACTGCTAAGAAAGGTAAGTGGGCTTGAGCGCGACCTGTGTCACTTGAGGGGACGATGGCTGATGGTCGAGGAACAGTGACCAAGCAGCACCAAAGAAACGGGACGCGTCTGCGCAGATGTTCACCGGGGAGACGGAGCAATGATACAGCTTGCGCGCAGGATGGATTAGTACATCGCATGAACATGATGGGTGGCGATGGCGTGGGGGAGGCTTTTATCCAGCAGCGGATTGATAAAGGCTGATGATGATGATTATCATGATGATGATGAATTAAACACCAACCTGGCAGTGGACGCGGATACAGTCGTAGTAGTAGCGCCACTCGTCTGGACAGAACTCGACACACACGCGTAATGACAGCCCGGGCACCAGTGCACCCTGGGAACAGACACCACAAAGACAAAGATCACCACACGCCTGATTTTAGACACCAGCGGTCTTTCGATTGCAAGTGCAGTGAGCTAACGGTTACACCATGGGGGCAACTCCCTTAATTTCTCAATTAAAAAGGTGACAATGTACATTTCTTGTTCTAGATATTTCTGTACCGTGCGGCATACTGGTAAGCGTTTTTTTTTTACTGTGTTGTTTTCATCCGGTTACCGATTATGCAAAAATAATGATTTGAACAAGTTTATTTCAAAGTGTATCATCAGAAACGGAAAGCACTTTTGACGAGTGACCCACCTTTTTGGAGTACTTCACTTGAAAGTGTTTGCTTTGCGGAGGAATAATATGCATGTTGATGCACTCCGCTGAAATGTTGATGAGTTTCTGAAAAATAACAGGGGAGTATTAAGAAACGTTATATTACAATATTATATCTGTATTTTCGTCAGTGCTACTTTGAACAATTTGCAATAATCCCCCCCCCACTTTATTTCTCAGTTTCCATGTTTCTGATCAAATTCATGGCTGGCAATATGCGCCGATTGAAAAAGTTACGCTTCGGAGACAAAGCCAGGCAGGCGGTGGTGGCTACGCACGCCTGGAATCCGGCGCTGCGGTGGCGGCAAGGGTTGGTGGATCATCGCGCGGGCGTAACCTGGCTCACCAGGAGAAGGTGGTACAGAAAAAATGTGGATTGTTCCGTCTGTATGGAATAGAGTGGATTGTTCCGTCTGTATGGAATAGAGTGGATTGTTCCGTCTGTATGGAATAGAGTGTTTCCCCCTCACGTGTGTGGGAGGTTTTGTTCCGGGTACTCCAGTTTCTTCCCACATGTAAACAATCATTCATTCGCTGATAACAACATAACATAAAGGGAACCGTAGAGTTTGGAAAATGTTTGGCTCTGGTTCCCCGCGTGGCTTCCTTTCCCACTCGTCTGTGGTTCCTCCTCGCGCCTCCACGAGGGCGAGCGAATACTCGTGCGAGTTACAAACTGAAGTGATATTCTCTGCTGCTTTTAATAACCAAGTTCGGCTTTCCAATACAGTGCTTTATCCTGCGCTCATTTGCATTCTCATATCATCATTTTGATTCCGAATACTCTTTCCCACGCCACCCCCCCAAAAAAATGCACAGGATGTAATTTGTTTAGCATACTTTGTTGTGCCTTTTGTTTTGCTCGTATTTATCTTGAGTCCAAATTAGCAGTCCTCATTTTGCAGTTCAATCATTTTCTGTAATTAGTTTTCCGTTGATGTTACAATATAACAACTCTACCATCAGCAAATATAAGATGGAGAATGCTTCATTCATTTACGCGTATACCTTTATTTAATAAAAAAATAACTATTTTCATAAAATGTTATGTTGTTGCTATGAATAGATTTTCTGAGTGCAGACCTCCTTATCTGACTTCTCTGAATTGTATGTTTCCTCTATATTTACTCCATCTCGAAGTAGCAGTTGCTTCATGCATTTCTTTATGAAATGCCTAGGGTTGTGAACGCTTTGATGATTGCTTTAGCTTTTCAGTGAATATAATGCCATTTAAAATCAATAAAAGCCAGACACTGTGGTATGTGATACACATTTGTCTCTTTCCACTCAAGAGATGGGAAAAGGGGCACATGGATCAGAGGATAAACATAAAGCAGACACATCACATTGACTGTTAACGAACAATAATAATAATGATTTGTTTTTGATTGAGCCACCCTCTTTTACGCCGAGGAATCTCAGAGCGCTTCGCACGCAATCGGCGACTTACACCAAATCTCATCTCAAACATTTGTATGAGCACCCCCAGTGGCAACTGTCAATAAACATTTAATTACGTCATCCTTGGGAGTTGATAGAAGGGATGATGGCTGATGGTCGGGATTGATGATGGAGTAGCAGGCAAATAGGAGCACTTACATGGGAGGACGACTCTTGTGAAGACGGAGCAATTACATCCGATCACATGCAGAATTTACATTTTGGCATCAAAGGACCATGGGGGAGAGTGAGAGTCTGAGAAGGATGTTATCCAGCAGTTAATAGGAAATAGGCTGATGATGAAACCACGAATAAAACTTTATAATAAATACCCCTTTAAGGCATAAAAAAACATTTTTTTCAAATAGACTTAGAAAAATGTCATAAAGTTCATAGCAGCAATGCAATAACCGTAACAATATATCACTCGACTAAAATGAGCAAATTCACAATGTGGCAATAATTACACAACTCTGCACAAATTAATAAAAACAAATGCGTGTAATTATGGCAATGAAATGTAGTCAATAAAGCATTTTAATCGGTAATGACAGCAAAAATAAATAAATCATGGAAACATAAACACAGCTTATTTATTTTAAAAGCCACAAAACTTAAAAGTGACAGATTTACAGTAAAGGAAACTATAATTAAAACACAAAAAACTGCCATTAAATATTTCTATCATATTTAAAGAACGCCAAAATATGGAGATCAATTAAAAAGCCCAAAGTCTAGCGCACATCAAAAGAAATCCTTTGCCAATCAGTCTTCTGGAATTATATTTTCCAGCAACGGTAGCAGCAGCAGCTGAACCCTGGATTGGAATTCACTTTTTGAATCTCATCAGCAGGGTATATGGCTTGTTAAGCAAATGCGGCGAGATTTCCAAATGTTATTGGGTGGCAAGAGTCAATCCACCAACACCACGAGGCCTGTTCACTTAAAAAAAAACATTACGTACCGTCGTGGAGAATTGTGGTAAATTTGGACAAAGCGTGTCCTATGGTTGCTTGATACAGATTGCAGAACAATTAAACGAGCAGACAATCAGTGGCTCAAAATATGTCCTGAAATTGAAAAAGATCAATATCATGAAGGTCACAATGACCGGTGCTATTTAAGTTACAATACTTAACTATTTGCATACTCCTATCAGTTCCTGAAACTGTTCCACATGACAAAAATACAGTTTGTGCAAAACACACACGGCCATCGTGTGTATGCCAACAAGCCGTTATCATCTCCTGAAGAATTGCATTGTTGCCATACATAGCAGGCGTTACCAAAAAGATTTCCAAAATTCTAAACAAACACAAGATCCAGGTCCGATTCAGTACAGTACACAAGATCCGTGATCTGATCCCATCCGTAAAGGATGTCATTCCTGACTTACAGTACCCTGGTGTCTACAAACTGAGTTGCACTTGTGGTGATTGTTATATCGGGGAAACGAAACGACATATTTCTGACCGCATTCGCGAGCACAAGTCGGATTTGAAGCACGGCAGGACGAATTCTTCGGCCGTAGCTGACCACTGTTATAATACTGCTGGTTCTCATGACATTGTGTTCTCCGATACCAAGGTACTCTGCAAGCCTCCTGGATACTACCAAAGATTTGTCCATGAAGCCATCCAGATATACAAACATAGACATAACTTCAACCAAGAGGATGGATTCAAATAGAGCAATCACTGGAAGGATGTAATTAACCAAGTTAAACTTTAGCTGCCATGCAGTTTACTGCTAGACGGCCAGTTTAGATTTATTTTCATAATCATATCCTTATTCCCGGTCTGTTACCCCCAGCTTCACACACTACCATCACCATTACCACACGTTAGTGTTCATCTTGTGCATTTCTAATTTGCACCCCCGGCAGCATAACAAAAGGCTGCTTAATCTTAGCTTTCTTATCTACTTCCGTCCCCTGCATCACAAAGCTTCAGTTTGAGCTCCATGCGTTACCTCCCTCCGCCCCTCCCCGTTTCTCACATCGTTGCACCAGTCCACAGCCCGCCCATACACTCACCATGGCCCCCCTCCCTCCATCCCCCGCGACTATATAATTCCTCGTCACAGCCATCTCTTAGACACACTTAAGCGGTTGTGCTTTCGCTATATTGTCCCCACCTGAAGAAGGACGCTTGTGTTGCGCCCGAAACGTCGTGATTTAATTCAGTTGTTTTCATTTATTTTGTTTGATTTTTTACCTAGGTGACTTTACAAAAAACAACAACCAAAGAGTATAATTGCATTGTGGTCTTCTTATCTTCGGCCACCATCTCAAAACATGAGAGCAAATGAGACCGACTGACAGCAGCAGAGATGATGCAGTGATGGACAACTGTGGACTGGTTTATCATGATTAGGACTCATCAGCACAGCATAGTCACCCATGTTAACTGCTGCAGTCTCCCTCTGGGAACCATACATGTGGAGTATCCACATCCCACGATGGGGTGCATGAGTTTGGCTAATGCCAACGAATTTTAAATGCGAAAATCACGAGAGAAAAACCCCCATCATGACAGAATCATAGTGCAGGCCGGGAAAACCACATATTCCAAACAAGACGAAGAAATGTGTAAGAAAAACACAATGTTTGCATTTCCTGAAGATGAACATGCACTTCTTCATGATATGCTGATGGTTTTTCGCTTGCACGCAAAGGCTACGTGCTTTTTACACATTTCTGTCTCGTTTGAAACTCACGGTTTTCCAGCCCACATTATTAGTCTGTTTTGATGGGTTTTGACTCGTCAATTACAGATTGAATGATTCTTGCACAGCCGACACCTGATCTCCAACGTCTACCCTTACAGTATCCCATCACCTGGCCCGACATCTCCCCGCACCCGTAAACGGTTTCTCACCGACACCCATAAACAACACCACATCCCTCCAATCCCAAGATGCCTCCACTGGCTCGCAATCAAATCCTGGATCAACTACAAGATCATCTTCACTCGTCCAGATGCTTTATGGACTTTCCTCGGTCTACCTCTTCCCTCTCGCCTTGATTGACTCTCCTTCAAGTGATGGCCACTCAAGCAACCAAGCACGTATTTGGAAACCCCAAGTAAACCTCCACTCAACAAAGGGAGTTTGCTCCTCTCTGCCGCTGTCCTGATTCGCTATATTTCCCCTTCTGCGCACTCATGCTGCTGATTCTCTTGCCCTATACTAGTCGAAGCTCAATACTTTACTCATCCCTTCTGCTTAGGATTGACTGTCTCTGGTCTATGTAGATGTATGGTCATTTTATCGATCCATTGTTGGATGAGGGCCTCCCCATGCTGACACGGTGGTGGGGATTATTTGAGCATATTTCATCACACTGCTCAGTGAAGGTTGGTGACGACGTGGAACAGAGGCGTTTGAAAACAGCATTGCACAACAATGGATATTGCTGCACTTGCCATAGCTTTTCTTAATCGCATCAAGCCACATTCTTATCTCTTTTTCCTTTCTGTTCTACAGTCTTATACCTCTTACTCCGACCCCATTGTTAAGTCTTCTTCATCTGCATGTCCACCTTCCTGTACAGCATCTTTAAATATACAGTATTTGCATTAAAACTCGTTCGAATACCAACAGTATTATATTGGATACACTTATGTCCGGGGGCTGTACGGGAATATGTACATAGAGAAAAGACAAACAATTATAATCGAGTTACCCTGTTACCACTTTGTTGCAGCAGAAATTCTGGCATGCTGTTATGGAACGCCCCACCCCCCAGTTATAAATGGTATCCCCCATCTGACACTAAACACGTGTAATTGAGCATCAGTGGTGATGTTGCTGCGTGCACTGTCGATCTACAGTTGTCAACTCACCATGGCGGGGCCTCGGGACCAGGTGAGGAATCAAGACCAGGTGGGTACTAAAAGTACAGTGGAAACTCAAAGGAAGGTAGAAGTAGGATTGCCCCCACCAAGGTACAAAGGTACATAGAAGCCAGGACATATTACAGGAAATAAAAATAGATCACAATACCAGGACAGGGGAGAACTACATGTAAATGCCTTGTCTTCAGTGGTATATTATTCTGCTCCTGAAAAAAGCCAGGACCGTTAATGTCCCGTAGAGACTTAAATGTTTCCCAGGACAGCTATCCCAAAAAGGGAATAATCCTGGGAAAAACCCAAAGCAGAATACTAATGGGCAGGTGCGCATCTAAGTCTGGCAATGCTCGAGGCCGTGAAGAGTGAGCGGCAGAGGTGGCTGTGGAGGCGGGAGTTACCACGTCCTGTGCATGCCGTTTCCCCAGCTCGTAGCCTCCGAAATGTAGGATCCCAGGCTTGGCCTCGACCACTTGGTTCTTGACAATGTTCCTGAAGGTTCCTGCAAAACGGCCAGCTTTTTTGGAACGCGACCTTTACCGCGAAATGACAAAGCAGTCATAATAATGTGAAATTATCAAATTCAAAGGTGCACCGCCACCGCTGCGGTTCTTTCTGATAACGGCAAGGCTTTGTAGTAAAAAAACAGAACGGAAGCGAAATAAATGAAATTTCATAACCTTACTGATAAAACGGCGCTGATTTGACAAGGTGTGTTTAATCTCTAAAGCTGCAAGGGTGGGTTGCACGTGCATTCAGAATGCATGTGCACGTATTGCAGCATAAACGACATTCTCTCCGGGGCCCTTTGCTCAACACGCTATGAAATTTAAAACACTTACAATTTATTCATGAGAAATGCACATAAAGTTCATATTACTGAGCAACGAGTTATCGAATTACATTGAATGGTTCCGAAATAAACTCTTTCTTATACGCTCGTTCGGGGTAGGTCTGAATCTATAAGCATCTCCACCATGACACGTGAAATTGGCTATTTGTATAATAAATAATAATTATTATGCTTGTTTACCCAGGAAAGCCTCACTGAGCCTAAATTTTTTTTCAGATAGGTACTCCCAATTTTTTGCAGTCAAGGACAATGTTGCTTTGTGCATCCAAAATGAGAAATTTGCAGGCAACTTTTTTTTGCATTGGGATGCTTGGCCAATACCAATTAAATTGCATGAAATTGAAAAACCTGAAAAAAACCCAAGCAAAATAGGGGGGGAGAACATTCAAACTCCACACAGAAAGGTTCCCTAGTCGGGAATCAAACCTACGCATCTGAGCTGAGGCACAAGTATTACCACCTTGCCACCCTGCCACCCTAATGGCCCTTGTACAGGAACAGCCATCTCAGCGCGGGCTGGTATTTAGCTGCATACTGAGTTTTGGCAATGTTGAAGGCGTCGAGATGGTGGGATGTGTGTATCCGCCAAGCATCAAATAATTCACTTCCCCCTCACTCCTGCAGTGATTCAATGAATAGTCAAGACTCGGGGCTGAGTTTCAATTTATAAATCAAATATATTTAATATGTTGCTCATTCTGTCTCATTATATTAATTATCTTTAGTGTAACTTATATATATACATATGTGAATAATAACCAGATGCCAAACAAGACGTGGTACAACTGGGAAACACACTGGAGAGTATACAATGCAACCGCAAATCCTACGCAGCACGAGCCGCATGCAATGATATCAACATCTCTCTGCGCTGTGTAATGCAGGCAGAAGCAGCGGACAAAGATGTCTGCAGAACTCACTTGTTTGGAGCAAGTGGTTGGGCACCAGCCTACGGGGTCCTCCGAGGCTTGGGCTTGCGGTCCTGGGAGCAGAAGGCCTTGCGGGGTCTGAGTGATCCTGGGGTTGGAGTGCTGGCCTCCACCTGCTCAGCTCCCCCGAGGAGTAGGGCCTGGCCACGGCCTGCATTGTGCGGCTGCACCTGGCAGACGGTGGCACGGCAATATACTCGCTTCATTCAACGAACACGCGGAGTCCGCACGGTCCTCACACCTGCTCTGAGAAAGATCACACATGGGCACTTCGACCTGCCCTGCCAAATGGCCTACTTAACCAAATTGGGCAAAATAGTAAAATGGATATTATCCATCTTTGTCCAACAGCTGCGTCTTGTGTGTTAAACTAACATAATTGGGAAAATGTAGGATATTATCATCAATGACTGCAAATGGTCTGGAATGGACTGAAATTAACTGACGAAGTGCCATGGGCACCAATGGATGGACACACATAATGGATTGACACGTGGTAAACTCACACCAAACTGTAGCAAAGTAGATGAGAGAGAAAACAACCGCCAATTATATTGACGGCCGCTTGTGTTGCGATCAAAACGTCGTAGTTTTTTGTTATTTTCTTTGAACCTATCTACGTGACTTTACCCAAAGACCCAAAGAATATGAATTCCTGCAGTCACGAAAGCTTTAAGTCAATATTGTATTATTATTTTATTAAAATCTACAAATCCTTGGAAGCAATTGTCACGACACGCAACACTACTTACCAATACAGATGGGAAAGATTACCAATTCAATATTTGCTTTAAAATATATTTTTTCATTCGATAAAAGTTAAATGTAATATTTGTACCAGCCCAATTAATATGCGTGTAAGCTCACTTTGCTTTACACATGCATCCGTTTGCATTTCCATGCGCGCATTTTTTTACAATGGAATCCACGAATTTGGTTATTTCAATGGAATGCATTGCCAGGTTGCTTATCGATAGATTTGTTTATATTATTCTTTAGGTCTTTCGGTAAAGTTACGGAGATAGGAGAATAGGTTTTCCCCTTTTTTCTGGCAACAAAACAGGTGTTAAGATGTTAAAAACCAAACTGAAACCTTTTGCAAGGAATCATGTCTGCATTAACCACAATACTTGTGGTCAAAATGCAAACAAAAAACGTACTCTGATAATATATGTATTGTCTTTGGAACTGATTGGTCCACACCAGAGACAGCTTTCTTTTTAGCCTCGTCTCAAAACGGTGTTAGACCAGAGGACGCCAAAAGGCGTACAGCCCAAAGACAATGCACTATCAGAGTAATGAGAGCTCGGGGTGAGCATCTACATCATGGGATCTCCTTTGCCAGTAGGAGATCCCATGATGAGACGAGGCTCAAAAGAAAGCTGTCTCTGGTGTGGACCAATCAAAGACAATGCATATATTATCAGAGTATATTTTTTTTGCATTATGACCTCAAGTATTGTGGTTAATGCAGACATGATTCCTTGTAAAATGTTTGAGTTTGGTGTTTTAACATCTTAACACCTGTTTTGTTGCCAGAAAAAAGGGGAAAACCTATTCTCATATTTCGGTACTGGCAAAGGAGGTCCCATGATCAAGTAGATAGGTTGCAAAAATTATAAAATAAACAAAACAAAAAACTACGACGTTTCAATCGCAACACAAGCAATCGTCATCAGGAGGAAAACGTCAAAATTTGTTTATCTTATTTCCCAATGGTAATTATTATTTGCTGTTATGAAACAACATGAAGACATTAACATCTGGAACTCATACAGAAAGGAGTGCATTATTCGAAGTTAGCGAATCCCCTTTGGACAGTGATATTAAATACCTACTTGAGATACATTCAACTGCTTTTCATCCACATTACCTGCACCGCCCTTTCTAATGTGCCCTCCTATATGATATTCTCAGGCTTCATAGCTGGACATATTAAATTAAGCGACAAGCCAAATTCTACACGATGTTATGTTTGTTGTGCAGGGGCTGATGACCAGCCTGAGACCGTATGGCACCCTCAGTGTACTCTAGAAGGCAGATTAATCACAAGGTATTCTTGGTTCTTTCGGTAAAGTCACGTAGAAGGGAAATAATAAAATAATAAAAATATCAAACAATAAAATTCTCACGACGTTTCGACTTGCTGTGGATTTCACACCTGATGATGGTTGCTTGTGTTGCAGTCGAAACGTCTTGAGAATTTTTATTGTTTTATATTTATATTATTTCATTATTTCCCTTCTACGTGACTTTACCGAAAGAACCAAGAATGTGAATCCCTGCGGTCACGAAAGCTTTACATCAAAATGTAATCACAAGGTGTCTAAAATCTGGATTCAAACCCCCAATCTCAGCAGCCGCCAGCAGAGTGTCCTCTGACAGCCATTCAGACTCTTTTGAGGCACCCGGCACATTTATTGGGCCATGTTTGTTACTGGCATGGTGCTCATCTTGTGGACTAAGTGTTCATGTATTTTGATGAAACACAATCCATGCTGAGAAGTGCACAGGGTTGTTCTTCTTACTGCTGCTGCTGCTGAGAATACTTGCTGTGAGTGTTACTGCTGCTGTCAATGCTACTACTATCACTACCAGTGGTGTTGGAAGACCCAAACAGAATTTATTTCTAAGGGCCCCTTTATCAATTGATGAAACCCTGGTGATATGCCAGGAGAGATATAGACAATAAATTCGTTGTAGTAGTGAGAGGGAGAGAAGATATAGATGCTGACAAGATAGAGATGAGACGTCAATTGAGGTTTTATATTAATTGCAATAGCTTGTCGTTTTTTTAAGATTTGAATTTGAGCTCATATTAGACACACCACGATTGTATTTCAATTAATTCAGGGGGGACCTTCAGCTATCTGGGCCACTCTGCTTGTGCTTTTACATAGGTTAACACCTCAGTGGATTTGCCTGGTAGGATGGGGATGGTTTAGTTTTACGTGTTTTGGTGATTTGTTTACCTTTCTTAAACTTTGCACTACGATCTTGTTTTTATTGTATTGTTTGTTGTTGTTGTAACGTTTTTACTGGACAGCCTGTGAAAACAAGCTTTATAGCTCATCGGATTCCTCCGGTGTCAATAAATATTCTAATTATGATGCCAAGCGCCGCCACTGATACGACCCTGACGATAGTACCTGTACTGCTAATAGTGCTTGTCGCTACTGCCCAAGCTACGACTGCAGTAATGTCAATATTGCTGATTTAAAGCTTTGGTGACCGCAGGGATTCATAGTCTTGGTTATTTCGGTAAAGTCACGTAGAAGGGAAACTGTGGATTTCTACACCTGATGATGATTGCTTGTGTTGCAGTCGAAACGTCGTGAGAATTGTATTGTTTTATATTTTTTATTATTTTATTGTTTCCCTTCTACGTGACTTTACCGAAAGAACCAAGAATATGTTAATATTGATGTTACTACAATTGTTGCTGTTATTCCAGTATTACTCTCACACGTTCGTTAACTACCCTTGCTGTTACTTCTGCTGTTGTTAAAATCGCCGGCATTGCTATTGTTGCTGTGGCTGCTAAAACAATACTATTATCACTGCCTTTGCCACGAACACCGTGATGATGCTACTGTTGATATTGCGTTGGCAAATACTGTGCCGGCATTAGCAGAGTTGTCACAGTAGGGGGTACAGCTGGTGCATCTGCCAGTCATCTCAGTTATTCAACCCGTGGCACCTCCTGAGCCCTCAACACTTCACGTAGCCTCAAAGTGGACCTAGCCTGGCACGGGCGCTGTGGTGATGTCACACCGTCACTTATTAACGAATGTCGGGTCACATTGGTGTGGCTAATACCGCACTGATCTTGTTGTTGTTGTTGGCACAGTCGTGAGTGTTGCTGCTGCATCGATGTCTTTGTTGTCAAAGACGTCGTCGCTTCTGTCACATTGTGTTGGTGTTCTCTCTGTGTTTACTACTGTTGGTGGTGCCGTGTGTGTGTATAGATTATTGGGGAGCGGTGGTGCAGCGGTTAGCGCGCTGCGCTACGAACCCGGCGACCCGAGTGACGATTATCTGAACTGGTCCCGAGCCTCCCCTAGGTCGACTCAGCCTCAAATGAGCACCTGGTGCGGTGTGTAAACATCGCCACGAGGGAGACAAAGGCGGCCTGGCGTGGTGTTTACCACACCACCACCTCGTGTGCCCGTGCCGGCCTTCATAGGTGCTCGCTAACAGCACTTGCCCCAATAGTCTGTTAAGGCTACACGGGGGATCTTTGTCTTTGTATATTATAGCCGGTGCTGCTGTGAATGACTTCCCATTCATACGGTGGTTAATGCTGCTGATGTTACTACCGCAGCTGTAGCCGTCACTACTGTGACTTTACCGAAAAAACCTAAGAATACGTGTTCTTGGTGTTGATGGTGTTGCTGCTGTTGTTATACCCTGAATGTTTCTGCTCTCACTTTAGAGATTGTGTAGAGCGATGTTGTTGATGTTGCTGCTGCTGCTGTTGTTAGTGTGAAGGGTAGTCTTACTGTGTACGTTGTGTTGACGCTCTTGATAGTGCTGTCACTGATGTTGCAGTTGCTGTAGTTGCTGCTGTTGTAATTATAGTTGCTGCTGTAGTAGTAGATGTTGCTGCTGTAGTAGTTGCTGTAGTAGTAGTTGTTGCTGCTGTAGTAGTATATATCGCTGTAGTAGATGTTGCTATAGTAGTAGTTGCTGTAGTAGTAGTTGTTGCTGCGGTAGTAGTATATATTGCTGTAGTAGATGTTGTTATAGTAGTAGTTGCTGTAGTAGTTGTTGCTATAGTAGTAGTTGCTGTAGTAGTAGTTGCAGTAGTAGTTACTGTAGTAGATGTTGCTGCTATCGTAGTGGTTGCTATAGTATATATTGCTGTAGTAGATGTTGCTGTAGATGTTGCTGCTGTAGTTGCTGTAGTAGATGTTGTTGCTATCGTAGTGGTTGCTGCTGTAGTAGTTGCTGTAGTAGTAGTTGCAGTAGTAGATGTTGCTGCTATCGTAGTGGTTGCTATAGTAGATGTTGCTGTAGTAGATGTTGCTGTAGATGTTGCTGTAGATGTTGCTGCTGTAGTTTCTGTAGTAGATGGTGCTGTAGTTGTTGTAGTAGATGTTGCTGCTGTAGTTGCTGTAGTAGATGTTGCTGCTGTAGTTGTTGCTGCTGTAGTTGTTGCTGCTGTAGTTGTTGCTGCTGTAGTTGTTGCTGCTGTAGTTGTTGCTGCTGTAGATGTTGCTGCTATCGTAGTAGTTGCTGCTGTAGTTGCTGTATTAGATGTTGCTGTAGTAGATGTTGCTGTAGTTGTTGCTGCTGTAGTTGTTGCTGCTGTAGTTGTTGCTGCTGTAGTTGTTTCTATAGTAGATGTTGCTGCTGTAGTTGTTGCTGTAGTCGAGTGATTGTTGCTGCGGTTTCCGCCGCGTCTTCAGTGCCGCTTGTCTCCATGGAAACCAAACACCCACTTCCTGGATGACGCCACGTGACACGCGACCACGTGGGGCCCCCACCTGTCAGTTGTCACCTGCATCCGGGTCGACCCGGGACAGGTGGCATCCCCAAGTACAGATGACATGTGATATCCACAAGTACAGGTGGCATCCCCTAGTACAGGTGCTGACAGGAATGAATTCGTATCCGAGGTCTCGTACCGGTATTGCCGTGTTGAACTTTATAACAGAAAAAGTCCACAATGTTGTTAATAGACCTAGGCTGACTTGAGACATACGGCCCGGCTTACTCTGCAGTGGCAACCACCGGTACCAGGATAACATCAGATACAAGACTGAAATTACTTATAAAATCAGGCAAATCAGTTAATGTAAATGCATTTGATTGCAATGGTAATTTGGGTCCAGGGATATATTGCGAGGTGGACCGTGGCTCTTCCCTGCGGGGTCGTCAAGAACCGATCAACTGCAAAACAACCACTCATTTAACTGGGAATACACGCCGATGGCCTTCACCAACCCGCACTGACCAGCGTGGTGAAGTATGGTCAAAATACCCCCCACGACCCCAACTGTGTTGGGAGGCCCTCAACCAGCAGCAGATATACAAAGCGCTGAAATATAAGAAATTAAACAAATAAGGCAAAGCTTTAAACGCGTGTTGGCACAGCCGAATAAAACTTGACACAGGTGAACCTAACCTGGTAAACGTAAATGATACAGTTTGTACCTATTCTGCTACACGTGATCCCATCCTGACAAATGCGAATAATACAAGTGTACCTTATCATGAGGCCTCCTTTGCCAGTAGCAAAATATAATAACAGGTTTTTTACCCTATTATTACAAGTGTACATATCCTGATACAGCTAAGTCCTCCAGGTGTACCTAACATGGTTCAGGTACACCTGTGTAGGTATGTGTATCATCTGCACTGTATCCAAATGATAGAAACATTCATTTTGTCTTGTGTGTTCCTGTAGCTAGGATAGATGTGCTTTATAGATTAGCCAGCGGTTTTTTTTCACGCATTTGTGTGAATTGCATCACCAGTTCATAGGGTTATGCAAACACCGTTAAGATGCTTCATAAACAGCAGAGCCTAACAGCATGGCCTGACAGCAGCCGCGCGCGCAGTCCATAACAGAACTCTGGGTAGCCACACAGCGTTGGCTTAAATGCCAGCCGGGCGGTGGTTGGTTGTGCTGCACCTGGCTGCCTGGAATACAGCATTGTTGGTGGATCACACACAGATGTCGAGGAAGCCAGACCCCTGGCTCTCCAGGAGAAGGCAATCCAGCAAAAATGTGGACTCCGCATTTCATCCCACCTGTGTGGGGATAGAGTGTTGGCCCCCTCGCACACGGTGGGGTTTCGCCGGATGTCCCGGTTTCACCCCACATACACTCTTGAATTGGGCGACACAACCCTACTAAATAGAGGAACGCAGAGCTTGGGCAATTGTTAGTGAACTCCGACTTCTCACCGCCGCGTGGCTGCTGCTGCTGCTCGTCTGTGACTCATCATCCTCCTGTCGCCTCCGAGTCGTCCTCTCTCTACAAGAGCGAGCAAATACTCTGCGACGCGACTGGATCTTGCGTTTTGTGTGGAGAGGAAACCTGAGTACTCACACGTACAACGAGTTCACATGCAAATGTCGAGGTAAACAGCCCACTTGCTGCACTGTGACCTGCCGACCACTTTCCATCCCTGTCTGGAGAAAGAAAGTATACACTCACTCGCTAATCTACGCGTGATCCACCAACCCTTGATAAACAAGCGTGCCCCCCACCACACCCTGCTAAATAAAGAAACTTGACCACAGTACGTTTATTTGTTGAGGCAGTTGAACTCTTTTCTATTTTTCGCTCAATTTTGTCCTTGATTGTGCCGCGTGCCGTGTCGTGTGAAACGAATTGGTCACTCGGATCGCTCGCAGAGAATGGCGCACGGAAGTAGATACCGCAAAACTACTTCTAGCATCCCTTCAAGTAGGGAGGGGGTGGGGGGTAGAACTGTTCCCACCCGCTCTGCCTGATGGTGCTGGTTGTAAATACCAGTCATGCCTCGGACTGCCCAATAGGTGAATGTCGTGGATTGCTCTCAAACACACCGCTGTGCTGATGCGGTAAGAACCCAGCACGTGTGTTCACGTGGCAACTTCAATAATTGACCGTGTCACACATTTTAATGTTATTATTGCTATTGACGCGCATTTTACTTACCAGATCTGACGAAGAAAATATATTACCAATCAAGATCCCGAATTCAGCCAAATGGGGCGCGGAACAAAATGTGAAGCGACGAGACGATTTTTTTTGTCACGTGTGCTACGATCGTGGTGACCGAGCCGAGACCACCATCGACATTGCCCGGATTCAAACCCAGGCTCTCTGCGCGGAACTTTGCTCGCCGCGTTGACCTTTGAGCCACCCCACCCGGCCATCTCCTAGATAATTGATATGGTTATATATAGTATGATTTTGCAGTGCTCTGTAAGCACCACGTAACCCTATATTGTAGCTTATGCAGATTCAATTAAAGCGCTTCTGCCTCCAACTGTCGAGGCACCCGGGAAGCGCGCGTGTTCGCGCAGTTGGGGTCTCGTCTGCCCGTGAACATCACAGATTCAACGCGAAGTCCCCGCTATTAAAGATGGACAGCGAGGTGCCTCTCTTCCTTTAACCCCCTCGAGCTGTCGGACCGTTGGAGCACGTGGCCGTTTCCGTCGCCGATATCTCCTTTGCAGTGGCCTCTCCACCGCTACTCTGCCCGTCGCTGCGCACGTGCGTATTGCACTCAGATCGACAGCTTCCCATCGTCTTCTTGGTTCTTTCGGTACGTAGAATGGAAATTCTACGTGATTTTACCTAAAAAAACAAGAAGATGAATCCCTGCAGTCACGAAAGCTTTAAATCGAAATGTAAGCTTCCCATCGGTTCCAGAGGAGGGGGTATCCACACTTTACCCCACCGCACGCGACCTGCCGATCGCATACTTACCGTGGTGGTGTAAAAAGCCCATTTCTATTGTTGGTTCTTTCGGTAAAGTCACGTAGATTAAAAAAAAAGCAAAGAATTCCACGACGTTTCGATCGCAACACAAGTGGTCTTCATCCGCCTGACGAAGATGATGAAGAACGCTTGTGTTGCGATCGAAACGTCGTGGGTTTTTTTTTGCTTTTATTTTATTTTTAATTTAAATTTATTTTATTATTTGTATATTTTGTATTTTCTATCTACGTGACTTTACCGAAAGAACCAAGAATATGAATTCCTGCAGTCACGAAAGTTTTAAGTCCAAATTTAAAGCCCATTTGTTTATGCCGCTGGACGGTGTACAGAGGAGGCTACGAGGTTGTTTTCACCTGCCCGCGCCCGGAGATCAATCGCGCGAACCGGCGACCCTCTGGATTGCAAGTCCAATGTTCGATAAACACCCATTAAACCACGGCAGGATTCCTGAAAATTGCAATATTCATTGTTAATTTGTTTTGTAGTCTAGTTCAATGTGAAAATACGTAACGGGAGGGGATGTATATTTACTACAATTGTATTGCCTCGTGTGAGTGGGGAGCGGTAGTGTAGCGGTTAGTGCGATGCGCTACGGACCCGGCCACTAGAGTTCGATTCTTGCCTACGGTCAACACCAGTAACGAATATCTGAACTTCAAACGGGTACCTGATGTGGTGTATAAACTATCTACAAAGGCTGCCCGGTGCTGACCGTGCCACAGCACTTTGCCCCCAAAGTTTGTCGAGGCTACACGGGGGGATCGTTGGTGTGGCTTGCACCTCGTAACGCCACCCCGTCACCCCGCCGTGGCCCAGGGTAGGGTTGATGGTTGTCGGTGGGTGTGTGATGGTATTTGTTTGCAGAGGGGATCGGGGCTGGGATGGTTTGACCAATGGGTGCGTGTGGGGGTTTATATGAAAGACAAACAACATGCAACACGCGTGTTCACATGTCAAGTGACGCATGGCCGCACTGTGCTGTGTGAATCGAGGCGAGGGATAGCAATAGCGATAGTTCTACAATTGGGAGGTGTGTCAGTGGCTGACAAACTATGGGTCACATAGTAGTCCACAAGTACACCTGTTAGCGATGCCATTCCTGGATCCTATTTGAAGCTTGGTGAAGGAATGATAAACAAGAAATAAAAACACGTGCATACGCATGGATTCTGAAACATTATTTTTCCAAACTTGATTTGAATTACTGTATTTGAATTACGCGACCACCACCATCGGAACGACGGTGGTGGTCGCGTTAGTGTGGCACGGCCCTAGGCCACGATCCATCAACTGGAATGCAAAAATAAAACATGTGCTCCGGCGTGTCTATGTAACTGAGGGACTGTCCGTTGTTGTCTCGCTGTGGTATGGGACTGTTGTTGTTGTTGTTTTGCTGCCTTGCCCCAAGCTTGCATTTGGTGTTTGACAAATCGGCAGGAATGTGCGTGCTTGTGCAATTTCTACTTACATACGTTATTTATTTATGCATTCATCTCGAGTGCTTACCTATTCTCTATTGTGCAATCCTATCGTCGTTTGTGTGTGTTCATGCTGAACTTCTCTCCCGCCGTGCGTAAACCAACCGTGCTAAACGGAGATTAATATAACCCGCTGACTCGCCCCTACTGGGCATCTGTGCCGAAGAGCTTCATAGCTCATCGGATTTCTCTTCCAGGATTAAAGAAAAAAACATTCCGATTCCGATTACGGCGCCCGTTGTCCGTGACTGCGACGTCACTCCCGTCGGTTCGCCTGCATTGAGTGCACGTTGGACTTCTTTCGCACCGTACGTAGACAACCGTGCCGATCGGAGGTGCAATGGCAATGCAGTGTCGTCACCGGGGTTGTTATGTTGGTGCGCGATCGTGAGTGTAAAAGTATTTTTAAAAAAATTTTGTATTTGTAATGCACACTTCGCGAGAAAAGCTTCACACTCGCATGAGCAGGCGAGGCACACGGCCTCCCGGGAGCGTGGAGGCGGGAGGCCGT